GTTCTGTATATATCCAATAAATCAAGACTGTTCATTTTGCTGTTTACATTCTTATTAACTTTTGGTCTGTTACCTTATTAAGTATGTTAAATCTCCTGCTCAGGTTGTGGATTTGTCAATTTTTTTCTGTAGTTCTACTAACTATTGATTTTTGCACCTTTGAGACTATTTTATTAGGTAAGTACATGTATTTTATGTTCCTGGTGAATTTCCTGCTCTGTAAAGTGGAGATAATAATACCTATCTTATAAGGGTTGTGATGATGAAATATAAATTTATACAGATCACTAAGAACAATCCGTAACACATTGTAAGCAGTACTACATGAATGTTTGCTGTTTTTTAATCCTATCTGTTAGCCACTACTTTAGGACTGGCAATCCTGGTCTTTTCTTGTGAGTATTGATATTTTTAAATTTCTTCTTGCCTTTTTCACTTTTTTTTTTTTTTTTTTGCTGGGAAAGATTCACCCTGAGCTAATATCTGTTGCCAATCTTCGTCTTTTTTTCTCTCCCCAAAGCCCCAGTACATAGAACCAATAGGATATACATACTTCACCCTCTAGCACATCCAAAATCTGCTCCTTCTCTGGTATACCCTATCTCAGTGAATGACACTGACAGTTGCCCAAATCAGAAATCTGAAAGTCACCTTCATCATCTTTCTTACCACCCTATCCAATTAATCACCAGGGCAAATTGATTCCATATCTTAAATCTCAAGTCCGTTCACTTCCTTGTTGCCCTACAATCTAACCTAGTCTAGACCACTAAGATCTCCCATTGTCTAATCTTACTCTTCAACATAGTATGTTATTTGAATGAGCCTCATAAAATGGGAATCTAATCATGTCACTCTTCCAGAGTAAAACTCTTTCACTTTTCCCCATTTCCTTTAGGAATAAAGTTTAATTGCCATGTCAGGCTTTATAGGGCCCTTCATTAACCACCAGCATCTACCACTCCTTCTTATTGCACTTTGTTCCAGCCACTGTAAATCTCTTTTGGATCCTCCAATGTGAGGATGCTTTCTCTTCTCCTGGCCTCTACACATGCTGTTATTCTCTCTCCACAAGCAATTACCTCCAAGCTAACTCATAATTCTTTAGTTCTCAGCATAAAAGTCACCTGGCTCTGGGAAGTTGTTCATCCCTGTTCTACACGCCAACTGCCATCTCCATACACCCTCTAGAGCTGCTCAAATTAGCCTGGCAACTATAATGAAGAAAGCAGAGTTGGCTCTATTCGTCTCTTTTGTGAAGTTTGTTCCTATGAGATGATGCAATCCAGAGAGAGAGGAAATTTCTGATAATTAAGGAATGCCAGAATTTCCAGGATTCTTTTTTTTTTTTTAAAGATTTTTTTTTTTTTCCCCCAAAGCCCCAGTAGATAGTCGTATGTCATAGCTGCACATCCTTCTAGTTGCTGTATGTGGGACTCAGCCTCAGGATGGACGGAGAAGTGGTGCCTCGGTGCGCGCCCGGGATCCGAACCCAGGCCGCCAGCATCGGAGCGCGCGCACTTAACCACCAAGCCACGGGGCCGGCCCTCCAGGATTCTTGTAAAAATAAATAGAAAAAGCCAAGAGCACCAGCAAAGTAAGTGATGAGAATCGCAGGAAACAGCCTTAAAATTATGAAATAACTTTAAAAAGTAGATTTTTATGGAGAAAAATGGGTCATTAAGAACATAGATATATTATAAGACTAAAAGATTATTTCTAAGACCAATGACTTAAAACAACAGCAAGTTCATGATGAAAATTATGTTGAGGTATGTTCCCTCTATACCCACTTTGTTGAGAGTTTTTATCATAAATGTATGTTGAATTTTGTCAAATGCTTTTTCTGAACCTATTGAGATGATCATATGATTTTTATCCTTCATTTTGTTAATGTGGTGTATCACATTGACTGATTTGTGGATGGTGAACCAGCCATACATCCCTGGAATAAATCCCACTTGATCATGGTATATGATCCGTTTAATATATTGTTAGATTTGATTTGCTAATATTTTGTTGAGAATTTTTGCATCTATGTTCATCAGGGATATTGTCCTATATATAATTTTCTTGCGGTGTCCTTGTCTGGTTTTGGTATTAGGGTAATGCTGGCCTCGTAAAATGAGTTTGGAAGAGTTCCCTCCTTTTCTATTTTTTGGAGGAAATGGGGGTGAAGAGGGTCAAAAGGTTAAAAAAAGAGGCATAGGTCTGTTTTACCCAAGCATATTGATGCTTTCACAGATTATTTCTGCTTTTCTAACCTTTGCACTCACAGGGATCTTCCCCTGTGGTCCTAAAGAAAAAAAAAGCAATTATTATAATAATTTTTCTTATTCAGTAGTAATCAAAATCGTATCTGCAGTATGGCTTATGGCAATTTCTCAAGTAAGATTCCATCTAATAGCACTGTATATATTTAATATGTGTTCACACTCATTTCTTACAACTTATGAATTTAAGTTTCAGCAAGGATACTTTTTAGTGTTTCTTTGGCCTATTTTAATATGTCAATTATTTAGCAAAGGTTAAATCAGTTAAGGTTAAATTATTTTAAAATGAGTCCACAGTAATAGTATTTTTAATAGAATACATGCTTCTTTTGAGAAATTAGAAATATGTACTAAATAACCCCAATACAAAATTTTAATAATAGAAAGTAAGGAAACTTGATTGAATCTCATTGTGCATACATACACAAGTAAATTTATACACATATACTAATATGTATTTTGCAGGAGAGGAAGCAATAGCAGAAATATGCAGGATGCAAAATGTACTCTAGAGAAATAGAAGTACAGGATGTATACATTATAAGTGCAAACTCAATAAATTAGTTAAAATTTTATTACTCAGTAAAGTGGGACCAGTTTACAAATGATGTGGCAATGGTAGCAGAGGTGGCAGGAAGGAACTCAGCACTCAACATGTCTAATAAATAAAGCTTAGTGATTCATTAAATATTACGATACTGTACAGGATCAAAACTTCCAATACTTCCATAGATCTTTAATTTATATCTTTCAGATAGGCCAAATATTCTAGGCAGGTAAGAAATTGCCTGTTGATATCATACTTTAAAGGAATTACCTTGGAAAATTAATGGTTTCACTGTCTATAAAAGCTGCACAAATCCAAAATATAATAGTTTCCAAGAATAATGGAAAATACTAGTCTATCATCTTGCTATCATTTTGGCTGCTCTTTGTACCTTCAAATATTTTTCACAACTAGTATACATATCTGCACCCTAACAAGTTTTTAAACGTTGTAAATATGGTCCATTTTCTTTGCAATTATCCTAAGGTGCTTTTGTGTGAAATGATTTACTAAAATATTTAGATTTGTTATCTAAAAATTAAATGAGTATTCCCACCATTTACTTTATCTCAGAAATTAGACTTGCAGAAGTTTTGAGTAGTCATAGGTCATTTCTGTCATGTAGTCTTGAGGCAGAAGGAAATTAACAAAAAGATGAACATCAGTTTTACAGTAACTAAACACACGACACCTAAGATATGGCTGTAAAGATAACCACATATTCCAATTATTTATTCAATATATGTGTCCTTTAGAGCTCACACTATTTCTTTTGTGCTTTATTTTTGATAGGATTAGTTTCATTTGATTTTTGTATTAAAGCAAAAGACAGACATCTGCTTTTCCTTGGCTTTAATTAGTCTCAAATTTATCTAAGAAGAGAGAAAATAATGCTCATTTCATAAAAGATTAACATCAATTTTAGGACAATTTTTTTTCTTCTCACAAATCTGTGCTGTGTTTATATTAACTAAATGTTTAAAAATACTAATCCTGAGCAAGAGAAAAATAAGAATAGTTTTGACTAAAGAATAAAATTCCTTCATTGTTAAACCTAAACAGCTTAAAAATTCAACAAAGAATATAAAGTCAGTAAGACTGGAATTCAAACTTCTGATGTCCATGGCAAACCTGAATACTCTGAGCAGAAATAAAACACACATAGTAGATAATACAGTAAGAAGCATCAGAAATTGATGCACCTGGATTTTGTTAAATATAACAAAGGTCACTCAGTCCTTCATGAATAAACCTAGCTGGGAGAACAGCACTGAACAGTGTATTGCATTGAACAGATCCCTCAGAAAGGCAACATTGGATTCTTTTTTAGATAGGCACAGACTTTTTTTTTCCAAAATATTCAGACATAAAAGACACATTTAGAAATATAATATGAATCCTGTTTTCATGAAGGCAAAAAGTTCTAGCCACTTTGGAAACCAAAGCAAGTCACTTGAGCTTTTAGTTATAGCTACCTCTCATGAAAAATAAGAGCTTACTACTCAGCACAGCAGTGTTATGACAAAGTATTTATACACCAGTGAAGGCATTAAGGACTTTGAACGTGAGTCAACTGAAGCCAAGCTCTAAGACTTTTCTGGTTCATGTGGTGAAAGTGCAGATGAGTGGGAAAGTGCTGGCACAGCAAGGATCTTCTCACAGCACTAAGGCCTGTCCACGTAGGAATAGTCAGTTGAAAGTCAGCACAGCAGACACTAGACAATGATTTCTGCCCTTGGCTTCATCAATATGCCTCTTCTTTTATTCAAACTGTCTCTCTTCCTCTTCGTCTGCTTCTTCAATGACCTGAATCTCATCTGCTTGAGGTAAGGAAGAATTCTCTTTCTGCAGTTTATTCCCATCAGCTTTACATTTCTCTTCTTCCTCTATGATTTCCTTCCATATCTTGTGGTTTTCTGTGAGGTGGTGCATTAGCTGACAAAATATTCGCCGTCTGCCTTTCCTTCTTTGTGGTTCTGTGAAATTTAAAACAAGTAAATTCTAATCATAGCAATATGATTCAATCATTCATTCAACAAATATCCGTGTGCCTATTATACTCCAGGCACTTATCTAAGCACTGGGGTTACAGTAGTATAGAATAAGATAAAGATAATTCCTGTACTATGGACCTCACATTCTAGGGGAAAGACCTAGATAAGCAAATAAGCAAAACATAAGTATGTTAGATGGTGTTAAGTATTATGGATAAAAATAAAGTGGAGAAGGGGATTAGGGACGACTGAGTCAGGGTGGGAGTCGGGGGGAGAGGAGGATGGTACTGAAATTTCAGATGATAAATAATAGTGCAAAGTTAAAAACCACCCTTTTAAGGATTTTTTGTATTAAACATGATTATCAAAATTTTGAGTATAAATAATTTTTAGAAGCCAGTCAACTTTCCCAAGTTGACAATCAGATGTGATGGCATGACTACTCTTCACTATGCTAATCCTGAATATAATATGTGTGAGTGTGTGTGTGTGGCGGGGGGGGGGGTTGGGGAGTTCTTTGTAGTTGTGTGTTGATTTATAGCATGCTTGAAAAACAAAAAAATAATTCGATATAAATTAAATTCTACTTTAAAGAGCAAATAACTGATTTCATTTATAGTTACAAAGGTGACAAATGTTTCTTTTTCATTTTCTACTTATATTCATTGCCTTATATAGAAAAATATGTCCCTATAGTTTGGTAATTCAAATTCAATGCCACAAAACTTGGTTCTCCTCGTAGAGTCAGGGAATGTATATTTTCCTCTTCTCCCAACTGTTTTGATCCATTTCCCAAGTCTGTGTGAAGGGCAGATATTAGCAGGCTACTTTGGAACTTGTGCTCCTCAGCTGCGTAGCAGGGCTGGGGGAGGGTGGTGTGAGGAGGGGTGAGGTGAAGGAAGACTAGCCACTAGGACCCACCACCTCACATATGCTCAGATGTGGTGACAGCCCTATCATGGTTGAACAGGCGGAGCCTGATGAAGAGCACCGGCTGGAGGCAATACCTCAGGAGAGGCTGCTTTAACCAAGAACGCTTGTTGTGTGACAGCATTAGCATGAGACCCAGCACACAGCAGTTACTCAAAACGAGACAGTAGTTAAGATATGACTACTGAATCTGTATCTTAGAAACAAAGATACAAATCCAAATTAATGGACATTTGCAGTTAATAACATTAAAGAAATTATAGTATCCTTATATTCTTACTAGGATTTAGCTTGTCTTCTATTTCTTCATCGTCTGTATCTAATTCTTCACCATCTTCTTCTTCATAACAACTTTCAGTATCATCATCCTCTTCTGCTTCTATCCACTGACCTGGTAGCAAACCAGCAGCATCATAGGAGTTACACAGGGGACCCACTATGTGGGTGATAAAAGATTCTTGGAGTTTTGCTAGTTGAGGAGAAGAGCGATCCATGAAGGGACTGATGGGCAGACCAAGATTTGCTTCTTCATCTCCCTGATCATTTTAAAAAGAAATTTACATTTTTAACTGTTGAAAGAACAACCACTGAGCTTTGCTGTTAAAATTATTTTAAATAAGCATAGTCTACATCAAAATAATTTTTACAAAGAAGCATCAATGAATCTAATTACTCTATCATTTCAACTCTAAGAATTTCTCTAATATTTGGGAAATCCTAAACAAGACTTGATTCTCACTCTCCACCAGTCAACCAGTATGGTTGATACTCAGTTAACAAGTAAAATACACATCTTATTTTTTAAAATAAGTATCAGCAAATTTACTAACAACCTACAAAATTCTATAATGTCAAATATAGATTCTCTTTCTCCTGGGGGAGATGGTATAATGGAAACATTTTGTTATAGTTATACTTCAAAAGTACAGAGTTGAATTTTGCAAATGTTTTTCAAGCTGCTCTCCCTTTTTGTTAACAGCAGAACCCTTTAATGAACCTAAATCAGAAAAGCCAATATGTAAAACATAAAAGTAGAGCTACTGAGGTCGTCAGGATTCTGGGCCCAGAGCCCCACTTGCCTGCCCTGTGATACCCTCCCACTGTGGCCTCTGGGGTTCTGGAGAGCACAATCTGAGATCAGACAGATGTGGTTTCAAAACCTGCTTTTGCCGCCTATTACCTGTATGGTGTTGGGCAAGCTCTATGCCCAATTCATGTGTAAAATTTGAATAACTACCTTACAGGGTTGCTATGAGGATGAAAAGCAATATTATAAAAGTGTTTAGCACAGTGCTGAGCATTCCCCAAATGCTACTATTAACATTTCAGTTTCTAGTGTCTGAACTGGCAGGGGATGAATACTCTCCACAATGCACAGATTCTGCAGGCAAGCGTTGCCTTATCTTGGTGAGCCAGCATAACCAGCAACTGTCTCAGTGATTAACTGTTCCATGATTTAAAATCTTCTATAAGGAAGGAAACTATTAAGGTTAAAAAAAAAAAAAAAAAAAAGTTGGGTTTATCCATGCAATTTCATAGGTTTGGCTTTTTTTTTTTAATAAGAGTTTGGCTTTTCTAAGCCCCTGGCAATTAAATCACTATCAGGGTATAAAAATAGTATAATTCAGATAAGAAAAAAAGTTGGGCAGGGTTAGAATTTTGTATCCATATCTGAAGGAATTGAACAGCATAACCAGATTGAGAAGGAAGTTCAAAGTTCTGAGGAGGGAGGACTAGGACTTTCATGGAGATTAGTACATTTAACCTTCATGACAACTCTGTATGGTTGGGTGTCAGATGACATTTTTCTCCTTTGACATATGAATAATGAAACCTAGAAAGATTAAGTGAAACTGTCTGCAACAATACATTGTTTTTCGTGATAGATCTGGAATTATAATTGTTAACATTTATTGAGCACTTATGTGTCAGGAACTGTTCTAAGAACTTGAGATATTATTGTATTAATTCATTTAATCCTCATAGCAACTTTATGAGGTAGGTACCATCAATATTCCTATTTTATCATTGAGGAAACTGAGGCACAGAGAGGTTAAGTAACTTACCCAAGGTCACATTGCTGCTAAGGAAGAGGAGCCAGGATTCAACCTCAGGCTTGGCTTCCAAGTTTGCTTAATATGAATTAATTCTATATACTTTAAAAATAATTATATCATAAATTGGTCTAAATGAACTTCTCTAATGTTATTTCACCAAATTAATAAGTTTTCCAAAATTGTCATATACTACTACTTTTTTATTACCTCTGTTTGTCTGATAATATACAGATGGCATTTTTCTTAGCATAAAATTCTTTTATGAACATGAAATCTATTGGAGAACTCTGAGGCAGGCTTCAATTATCTTTGAGAATGAGGATAGGAATATGCAAACTGTATGCTGCAATCTACAAATTAGGTAAATATTTATAATAATTTATCACCCAAAATTACATATAATTTAGTTCAAATGTATCAGAATAGTAAAATATTAATAATCTTGGACTTATCTATTTCCGTGATTATACAGTATGGTATTTTGTAACCTGCAAACAGCAGAATATATATTATTGTGTTGGCATGTTTAGCTAAGGTGAATGAAAGACACTGCACATTTACTGGCCATTCAGCACAATCTGGGTGTGACAAGGTACAACAGGCAAGTGTGCATGGTTTATAGGCTCAGCTTCATCACTCCTACTGGAGTAGTCACTCCTGGTAAGAAAGCCCTGTCACAAAGCCCTCACTTGGTAGACATCTTGATCGTTCCTGATTATTAGAGCCAACAAGGATTCCCAAGGAATGCAATTCCAAAGTCAAGATGATGTATTTGATATTTTGGAGATATGAAATGTTAGGCTTGTAGGGAAATCAGTATACTTGTACATTGTAGGGAGCCTCAAAATTGGACAAAAATGGTACAGATTCTTCAAAGTAGTAGGATTATTTTAAAGACAAGATTTTAAAACATAAAAGAAAAGAGCATGTTTATATCTTTGAATCCTTGAAAATCACCAAGTTTCTACTTTGTCCCCATTTCTAGCCTTCTAATTTCTTATCCTCTGCCAGGACTTTTACCCAGTTGTTGCTTCTAAGGCAGTCTTTCTATAGCAGAGTTGAAAATGGGTTGATATTCTTTAAATATAATCTAAATATACCCTGAATCAATTAAAAACCTTTTCATTTAGAAATAAATTATCCTAGGTTATAGGCTCTCAGGGTTGAGAGAGACCTTGGAATCATAATGTAGTCTGTCCTTCCCTCTAGACTCAAGAGGGTACATTCAACCCACTCCAGAGAGGCAACAAGTTATTTTTTATTGTTTTAAATTTTAGCAGCAAAGGCAAAAAGAGCTGAGAAAACACTAAAACCAGAGCCAATGCAACAATTTCTAGCCATTTTTGGTCAAAGCAACTCAGATTTCAAACATTCAGCATACCTATCCAAATCCCAAAGAGTAGTGTCTACAGACAGCAGCTCTTAAAAATCCCACCAATCTCATGTTTCCACTTACCTGCTCATAAAATTCATTGACAATGCCTTCTGTCCATTTCAAATGCAAGTCCCGAACTTTTGCTGGGCCATTTATGTCTGCCAGTTTGATGCACACCTGGCATACCAGGAGGCGATCATTTTCATTACTCCATTCTATACCATTACTATTTACATCATTGGCCTATTTTGGAAAAACAGAATTACTTTAGGTTCTAAGGGCATAAGAGTTTTGTTTTTGTTTTTTATTGTATTCTGTTTGTTCTTTTTTTTGGTTTTTGTTTTTTACCAAATTATCTTAAAACTGTTTCCTGTCCAGATGACAGAAAGGAATTTCAATAAATGCTTCTTTTAATCAGTTTGTGCCATAACATGGATCTCTATGGGTTAAATTTCCCTCTGAAGTGTCAGTATAATTTTGTTTCAATGGAAGCAGAGGCTATAAAAACATAACCCATGGTTTGTTTCAATATTTGTGATTACCACAGAGAATTGCAATTTGTGTGTATATATATTACATATTAATGTTAATATATAATATATATTATAAGTATATGTATATGCAAAACATCCATAAATCAAATAAGAATTGTAACTATTTCTACCTCAAAAAAGATCACTTAAGGATCTAAGAAGAAGTTGGCTCTAGCTGTGAAAGGCAGCATGATATAGTTGAAAGAACACTAGTCGTAGCAGCTGATCCCTATGGTTTTAAATCCTGACTCATAATAAGTTACAATTCATTGTGTAACACTGGAAAAATTACTTAATCTTCTTGAGTCTAACTTTCTTCATTTATAAAACAGGAAAAGTAATATCAATTTAGCCATGATACCATAAGGATTAACAAATGAAAAATGCCTAGTTCATAGTAAATGCTAAATAAATGCTAACATTGTTATTTAAATAAATGGTAATTATCATCATTAATTAGGCAAATCACCATAACTTTCAAGAACTCAAACTTCCTCTTGTAAAAAATGAAGTGAATGAGGCCAGCCCCCTGGTGTAGTGGTTTAAGTTCAGCACGCTCCGCTTCCAAGGCCTGGGTTTGTGGATTCAGATCCCAGGTGTGGACCTACACCACTTGTCAGCCATGCTGTGGCAGTGACCAACATATAAAATACAGAATAAATAACAGGTGTTAGCTCAGGGAGAATCTTCCTCAAGCAAAGAGGAAGACTGGCAACAGATGTTAGCTCAGGACAAAGCTCAGCAAAAAAAAAAAAAATGAAGTGAATGGGCAGATCAGTGACTTTGGAACTTGAGTGTGACGGTAGTTTTTTTGGTACCAAACTCTTTTGCGAGAGGAAAATTTATGTTGACCACCACTATAGAAAACACTTAAAAGGAGAGCTCTTTTGATTGAAACTGTGTAGGAGGTCTGGAGCCCCATTCACGTATTTTCCTGAGAGACTACAGAATAGAAGTCTCTGAGGAACATAAATTCACAAGTATTGGGCTAGATGATCTTTCACTTGTAAAAACTTCTATTACTCTGACTTAAGCATTTAAATGAATTTTTATTATTAAATTAAAATAAAAGTTAATAGAGCTATACAACTACAAAATAATTTTAAAGGCATACTGATTTTTTTTTTAAATAATTTTATTTATTTATTTTTTCCCCCCCAAAACTCCAGTAGATAGTTGTATGTCATAGCTGCACATCCTTCTAGTTGCTGTATGTAGGACGCGGCCTCAGCATGGCCGGAGAAGCGGTGCGTCGGTGCGCGCCCAGGATCCGAACCCAGGCCGCCAGCAGCGGAGTGCGTGCACTTAACCGCTAAGCCACGGGGCCGGCCCAGCATACTGATTTCTTGCTGATTTTTTGTAAGCATCTTATTAATGCTATGACAGCAACATATACGGGGTCTCCTTCCAGAGGGTTAAATCTAATACTCCTTTGTTACCAGTTCCTCTACCCCGAAGGCACACCTTCCTTTAGGTCACAAACATCATCAAGAAAACAACAGCTTCCTGCCAGCAAAAGAGGGGGGCATCCTTCCCTCAGGAATCTAAAGCAGTGGTTCTCAACTCTTTTTTGCCCCAAATGTCTGAGGGACAGAACACACTCCCATTAGTATACTCTCACATGAGGGCAGTGATTCTCAATTTCCTAGTGAATGTGGGTTCAGTGAAGGCAAGGTCTTCAACTTGTTCTTTCCTTATTCTTCACTTCTTCTTGACTGCATATAGTGGGCAATCCCAATAACTAGTTGTTGAAAGATGCATTATTCTCAAGTTGAAGAGTGGAGAGTACTTCTCTCTCACATCAGCCAGTTAGACACTAATATAACGAAAGTGTAAAAGGTGCAGCAAAGTAGGCATAACTGGCTTCTTAGAAACACAACTTTACCATCATAAATGTCTTACTTGGCACTGTGCACAATTTTATCAAATCTGCCCCTAAAAGCTTTTGACATAATTAATTGGTTTGTCACTGTGTGAAAGAAAAGTCACAACAATATAAGTCTGTGTCAGAAAGGAAATGTAGCAAGCAGCAGTATTTTAGGACTTGTTATATTAATAAAAATGTTTTATTTTTAAAAATATTGGCATATATATTGTCTTACATCAGATATTTATTATGACTTCATGAGTAGTATTCTAACTTAACATTAAAAAATATCTTTTATCAGCAACACTGACAATAATGATTTCCATTTTTGAAACCAGGCATTAATTTGCATAACAAACCTTGGCATTGAATTCAGCAAGGAAATCAAAATGCTTTTTAAGATCTGTAGCAAGGATTGCTTCAATGACTAAAAAACGAAAGCGCTTGAATTCCACATGATCGAGATTAAGAAGGAAGTTGTATTCTGGGTGAGAAAGATACAGATTCCAAGCTGATGCAGCATGATGATTTTCCAGAACAGATCTATCATTGTACAAAACTGCCTAGAAAGGAATAAGAAAAATGAGGCAAGCATCTCAAAGATATTAAACTTTAATAATAAATAGGATCACATTGGAAGAATACAAACAATGAGTACCTCCTATATGCCAGGCATTTTAACACCTGTGAAGAGGGTTGATAATTTTATAAAAGAGTAGCCTGAAGTGCAAAGAGGATAAGGTACACCTTTCTAGCAGACACAGGTAGTAAGTGAAAGGATAATCTGTCTCCAAAGTTCATCTTTTCAGACACCATCCTGCCTACCAAGAGATGTGTCAAGTTGATATTTGAGGTCTACTTCATTAAATCAGTAAACCTCAGATACAGCTGCTGTTAATAAAGTCATGAGGGATATAGAGCACATTTAGGGATACATTTCTGTTCTTTAGCCAGCATGGAATGAATGGTCGTGGTGACTGAAGAAGAGGAAGCAGGAGTCCTGTCCAGGGTGAGTCAGAGACCCACATGTCTGAGAAGGACATGTTCTACACTCCCATACTGACACAGTGCCTGGGAGTAAGACAGAAGTATGAAACAGGTAAAAGCACAAATCCTCTGGTTCAAGTGCTGTGGAACTATTCATTTTTTCTCTGTCTCACTTCAAAGGAAGACCCTGAGGTACTTCCTCAGTACTCTAGGACTTTGGAATACAAATTTTAAAAAACACTGGATTATAGAATTTTTTAACCCTCTTCCACCTCTAAAAATTAAACAATTTTTTAAATTATTAAATAAGCATAGTAATTATTAAAAGAACGTCCACAGCCAGTGCTAAAGGCTGGGGATAAAAATAAAAACACTGTCCCTGTTTTCATCAGAGCTTCCGGTCTAATGGGAAAGAAGGACAGATAAAAATAGAATGTAATCTCAGTTAAGATACATATTCTGAGACCTTAATTAAATAGTTTTACATATTATTTATTAAAATTAGCTATAGTTTAAATTTAAGCATAGATACCATTTGGTTGCTTTTCTACATCATTTGATTTTATGTAAGCAATGAAATGATTTATACTTTGAAATGGGCCGTATAAAGGCTGGAAATAATCTAAGTGTCCATCAATGGATGAATGGATAAAGAAGATGTGGTGTATGCAGTCGTCCCTCAGTATCCATGGGGGATTGGTTCCAGGACCCCTGTAGATACCAAAATCCACAGATGCTCAAGTCCCTAATATAAAATGGCATAGTATTTGCATATAACCTCCACACATCCTCTCATCTACTTTAAATCATCTCAAGGTTAGTTATAATACATAATACAATGTAAATGCTATGTAAATAGTTGTTACACCGTATTGTTTAGAGAATAGCGACAAGAAAAAAAAGTCTGTACATGTTCAGTATAGATACAACCATCATAGGCCTTTCAATCCATGGTTGGTTGAATCCGAAGATGCAGAACCCACGGATATGGAGAGCCAACTGTATATACGTACAATGGAATATTATTCAGCCATGAGAAAGAAGAAAATCCTGCCATTTGTGGTGACACAGATGGACCTCGAGAGCATTACACTAAGTGAGGTAAGTCAGAGAAAGACAAATACCATATGATATCACTTACATGTGTAATCTAAAAAAGCTGAATTCACAGAAACAGAATGGTGGTTAACAAGAGCTAGGAGATAGGGGAATTGGGGAGATATTGGTCAAAGGGTACAAACGCAGTCACAAGATGAATAAGTTCTGGGGATCTAATGTACAGCGTTGTAATTATAGTTAACAATACTGTGTTATATACTTGAAAGTTGCTAAGAGACTAGATCTTAACTGTTCTCACCACAAAAAATAAATAGCTATGTGACATGATGGAGGTGTTAGCTATTGCTATGGTGGTAATCAAAATATATGTGTGTCAAATCAACAGGTGGTACACCTTAAACTTTACACAATGTTATATGTCAATTATATCTCAATAAAAAAACAAAATGCATTTCATACTAACCTTAACACAACTTCTAAACATTGTAAATCCGAAAGAGAAAGAATAAGCTTCAAAGACTCCCTAAGGGGTCACTTTACATTTAATAGCAATTTGACTAATTCATGCTCAAATCCGATAAAGACTGATACACTATCAAAACAGCTTTGTCTGTTCAGGAAGAAGTAATCAAACTCCCAGCTCAATAAAGCACAATGTATAATGAGTGTCCTATAAAGCTAGCTGACTTGATAAATTCTCAGCTAATGAGATCAGTAAAAGAAATGAGTAAGTTCAGAATTCCTTCAGCATCCAAACTACCCTTTGAAATTACCAAAGAAATATAAAATGGGGGCAAAAAATCTGAATATTAAAATCCAGACATAATCACCATACTGGAGTCTTCAAAGACATGGTAAAAGTGGGAATGGATTAGGAAAGGCCAACTAAGCCACTGCATAAGAAAGAAAAACCTACCTGGAGAATAAGTGGAAGGAGTCCCCTGGTGGACCCCAATAAACTCACTATCTCATAACTGAGTAGAGGCAAGACTCATGGAGCAGTAAGTAGGACGCAAATGTCAATTCTACTTTAGGAAGAATATTGGATGGCAGCACATAGAGCAACAAGCCAAGCTTAAACTTAGTGACAAAAACATTCCAGGGGCCGGCCTGGTGGCATAGTGGTTAAGTTCATGCGCTCTGCTTAGGTGGCCCGGGGTTCACCAGTTCAGATCCTGGGCGTGGACCTACTCACCACTCATCAAACCATGCTGAGGCGGCGTCCCACAAAGAGCAACTAAAGGGATGTACAACTGTGGCATACAACTATCTGCTGGGGCTTTGGGGAGAAAAAAGGAGGAAGACTGGCAATAGATGTTAGCTCAGGGCCAATCTTCCTCAAAAAAAGAAAAAGAAAGAAAAACATTCCAGGTAAAACAGATAATGAAGCTTCAGCAGGCTTTTACTGAGGGCTCTATGACAACTAGAGAAGGAAGACAGTGCCCCAGCTAACATCCTTTGACTTTTTGCTAAAGCATCTTGCTACCTGCTTTCTCTAGCTGTGGATCCCTCCCTTCTCTCCACAGGCAAATACATCTCTGATTTGGCAAAGCAAGTTAGTTTATCATAAATTTTACTTTTCACTCTCTTTCAGTCAGAAATAGAAGTATAATGATGTACACCTGAAATTTATACAATGTTACAAACCAATTTGCTGGCAATAAAATAAAAAATAAACAGAAAAAAACATTCAGTAAAAAAAAAAAAAAAGTTACCTGTGGAAATCATGAGCTATTAAAGAATAAAGCCCCATTGGAGAAAATTAATCAGACAGCACTTTTAACTATTTCCTCCCTCTCTCTCTCCCTCGCTCCCTCTCTCTCTCTCTCAATCCTACTCTTGTTCTGGTTAGAGAATCTAACTCCTATATATGAATAGTGAGAGTGTATGAAAGAGACAGAAGTGAGAAAAGGAATATAGAGAACGCCTATAGAAGATGAAAGAATCAGAACTGAGGTTTAAACATAGAGCCATAAAGTGAAGAAGTAAGATGAATTCAGCAAACAATAACTGACTACTTTTTGTAAGGCATGAAGTTAGAAATATAAAGATGACATTTCAGGAATCACCAGCCTAAACAAACACCCACAACCACACTAAATTCTACTTAAAACCAAGTATTTAGTTCCAAGTCCTAATGTTTAAAGCTATTATAATTACTGTATCCATTTGTTGGAAACTCCTACCTCTTATGCAAATTGTGACCCTAAAGGAATCTTGCACCTTATCAGCTGTACTGGATACAAAAATAATGTGGTGCTAGAGGAATTTTACATACACGAATATATTCAGAGCTAAAAGATTTAGAGTCTGGATATTAAGGCATGTCTTAGGGAAACAAGGGGACAACAACAACAAAAATAATAATAGTTCTCGATCATTATAGCTTTTAGCCTTACAAAGGACCTTGCCAGAAGGAAGAGTAAGTCTTAAATCTAGTCAGTCTTATCAATTTGATCAAAGGGAAAAATATTGACAGCAAGGACTCCAGAATTTTATAAAACAGTGTGTTACTCTTTCATGAACATTTTATTCATTTTCCAGTTGAAGAAGGTGATTTTTCCTTAATTCTTTAACACACACCATGTCAATGCTATGTGTTATTATCCAGTTAATTACAATGTAGATGGAATGGCCATATGATTCACCTCAAGAATGGTTTACAAAGGGATATATATACAGTATGGTTGTAAAATTTCTTCTTTAAACTTTTTTCTGAAAAAGTATTTCCTACCTGAGGGGCATTTGTAGCCACTAGAAATGCATTTGTCCGCCCTGGGTGATCATAATCATGCATGGCAGCTGCCACATATAGAGCCATCAATTCCAATGCAGGAATGTTTGAAGACAGGCAACCATAGCTCTCATCTGGAATAGAGCAGCTCCTCGAAGAAATGTAAGCAATTTGCCCGGGGCTAATTCTACCATCAGACTCTGAGGAATAAGCAAAATAAACCAGCATTACACATAACTTCCAATGAGGCTAAGGTGGAGATTCCCCATAGGTAATATGATTATTTATCTTATTTGTTGACTTACCTAAGAAATAGACTCTATTTATAAACATGGACTTAAAACAGTATATTATTTCCAGCATACATGCTAATAAAGAGAAACAGTATTATATATGACCCTGATGTCACTTACTTTACAGGATATGATAGGATTCTCATGATGCTCTCTTACTCTGACTAATAACAATTTTTAAAAGCCTCTGATTTTCTAAACATTTGTAAGGCTAGATATAATGGCCAGGGAATAGGAGGCAAGAAGAAAAAGCAATCTAGAGAATAAAATTTCACGAAAACAGTATGGAGATTTAGGAATTTAATATATTAACAAAGCAAGCTTCTCAACATGGATGCTTTTCAAATCTTATCCAGATAGATTACATTTGATTTGCAGCCCTGACTACAACACTTCTTCCCCTTCTTTTTCCTTCCATGAAGCCTCTTATAAAACAATGGAAAGAAAAACTATGGAAAATGAAAAGGCATGGAAAACTGAGGAATGTCTCAGAAAGATAACTCTCTTTTTATCCTCTAATTAGAAACAATATTTTCACTATCAGCACTGTGCTTTTGGTGTCTTAATATCTTACTATTGATTTCTTCCTTTTTTGTATTTTGGTGGCTTTATTTATTTAAATGGTCACTCTAATATTTTTGCTAAAGGGATCTTAAAGTGTAAGAAGGAAAAAATAAACTATATTTAGAGTAGGAAATAAAACCACAAAGATATTAGAGAGATACAAAAATTCATTGGCTGTGCTCACCAGTAGAAACTAGGAATAATATCCTGGCTTGTCAAAGTCCAAAATAATTTTTATCATAATTTAGTTCACTCTATTTTTGCCATCACAAGAATTTTTTTAACATAATGACTTAAATACACACTAGTGATAATTATAAAGATACCTCATTATTTTCATGCTGTTTATATTTTGTACCTAAATAGTTTTAGAATCACCCACACTAGAGCTATTTTTTAAATAATTATAAAAAATAAAAAGACAAATGTATGGATAAAGATAGATTTAAACGTTCAATTTCTTGGGGCCGGCCTGGTGGCGCAAGCGGTTAAGTGTGCGCACTCCGCTGCAGCGGCCCGGGGTTCACCGGTTTGGATCCCAGGCACGCACCGACACACTGCTTGGCAAGCCATGCTGTGGCGGTGTCCCATATAAAGTGGAGGAAGATGGGCATGGATGTTAGCCCAGGGCCAGTCTTCCTCAGCAAAAAAGAGAAGGATTGGCAGATGTTAGCACAGGGCTGATCTCCTCACCAAAAAATAAATAAATAAATAAACATTCAAATTTCTAATCAGAAGACTTAAGTTATCAACATCAGAGCCAATAACTTGGATTTTCCCTGTGTTATATGCATTCTGAATTTCCTCTAGAATTTCTAAAATATATATAAAAATATCAGAAATGGCAAAAGACATCCTTTAAACTCAATCATTACTTAGAATTGACATATTAGGATCTATGAATTTAACATGAAATTAATAGTATGAAAAAGAAAATAGCTGGCAAGAACAATTACACATAACTATTGTAGATCCCATTTATTTACTTTCTTTCAGAAAATGGTGATTCTTTTAATTGGCTGATTAATTTAAAAAGAAGTCTCAGTAAAAGGCATCCAGATTGGAAAGGAAGAGGTAAAACTATCTCCATTTACAGATGACATGATCTTATATATAGAAAAATCCTAAAAAATCCACTGAAAAACTATTAGAAGTAATAAATGAGATCATCAAGATTGCAGGGTACAAGATCAATATTCAAAAAATCAATTGTATTTCTTCACACTAGCAATGAATAAGCAAAAAATGAACCCAAGAAAACAATTCCATTTACATGAGCAGGACAGCTAATTTTTGACAAAGGAGCCAAGAACATAAAATGGAGAAAGGAAAGTCTCTTCAATAAATGGTGTTGGGGAAACTAGACTGCCACATGCAAAAGAATGAAAGTAGACCATTATCTTACACCATAGACAAAAATTAACTCAAAATGGATTAGACTTGAATGTAAGATCTGAAACCATAAAACTCCTAGAAGAAAACATAGATAGTATCTTTTTGAATATCATGTCTCTTTCAGGCAAGGGCAACAAAAGAAAAAATAAACAGGACTATATCAAACTAAAAAGCTTCTGCATGGCAAAGGAAACCATCAACAAAAGGAAAAGACAACCCTCCAATTCGGAGAAAATATTTGCAAATCATGTATCTGATAAGAGGTTAATTTCCAAAATATATAAAGAACTCATACAACTCAATAATAAACAAACAACCTGATCAAAAAATGGGCAGAGGACATGAACAGACATTTTTCCAAAGAAGATATACAGATGACCAACAGGCACATGAAGAGATGTTCATCACTAATTATTAGGAAAATGCAAGTCTAAACTACAATGAGATATTACCTCACACCTGTCAGAATGGCTATCATTAAAAAGACAAGAAATAACAAGCGTTGGAGAGGATGTGGAGAAAAGGGAACCCTCATACCCTGCTGGTGGGAATGCAAACTAGTGCAGCCACTATGGATAACAATATAGAGATTTCTCAAAAAATTAAAAATAGAACTACTGTATAACCCAGCTATTCCAATTCTGGGTATTTATTCAAAGAACTTGAAAAGCAATTCGAAAAGATATATGCACCCCTATGTTCATTGCAGCATTATTCACAATAGCCAAGACTTGCAAGCAATCTAAGTGCCCATCAACAGATGAATGGATAAAGATGTGGTGTTTGTATATATATATATACAATTGAATTCTACTCAGCCATAAAAAAGATGAAATCGTGTCATTTGTGACAACATGGATGGACCTTGAGGGTATTATGCTAAGCAAAATAAGTCAGACAGAGAAAGACAAATACCATATGATTTTACTTGTATGTGGAAGATAAAAAAGCAAACACATAGATATGGAGAACAGATTGGTAGTTAGCAGAGGGGAAGGCGGTGGGGGGAGGGTGAAAGGGATAAAGGGGCACATAGGTATGGTGACAGACGGAAACTAGACTTTTGGTGGTGAACATGAGTCAGTCTACAGAAGCCGAAATATAATGATGCACACCTAAAATGTACATAATGTTATAAACCAATGTGACCTCAATAAAATTTTTTTAAAAAGAATAAAATACTTAGGAATAAACTTAACAAAAGAAGTGCAAAACTAGTATTCTGAAAACTAAAAACTAATGTTGAAAGAAATTAAAGACTTAAACAAGTGAAAAAATACACAAGTTTATGGATTAGAAGACTTAATATTGTGTATTAAGATGGCAATACTCCCCCAAATTATCTAGAGATTCAACAAAATCCCTATCAAAACTTACAGCTGGCTTTTTTGGTAGCAATTCACAAGCTGAACCTAAAATTCATATGGGAGTGCAAGAGATTCAGAACAGCCGAAACAATCTTGAAAAAGAAGAACAAAGTTGAAGGACTCACACTTCCCAATTTCAAAGCTTACTACAAACCTTTAGTAATGGAGATTAGTATGGTACTGGCATAAGGATAGACACATAGATCAATGGAATAGAATTGAGAGTCCAGAAATAAACCCTCATATTTATGGTCAATTGATTTTGGACAAGGGTGCCATAACCTTGTTGAGAGCCAACTATGTGCCCTGCCTGATGCTAGGCACTTTCATATATGTTATTTCATTTAATGCTCAGATCTTATAAGGTAGAAACTCCGATTTAATAACATTTAGGAGCTGACTAGGTGTAGAATATATAAAGAATGAGGATTAGAATATATAAAGAACAATTCTTTTCAACAAATGGTGCTGGGACATGAATATCCATGTGCAAAAGAATGTTGGACCTTTTCCTTACTCCATACCCCCAAATTAGTTCCAATGGATCATAGACCTAAACTTAAGAACTATAACTATAAAACTCTTAGAAGAAAACATAGGGGTAAATCTTCATGACCTTGAGTTAGGCAAATACTTCTTAGATATGACACCAAAAGCACAAGCAACAAAAGAAAAAATTAGATAAATTAAACTTCAAAATTAAAACGTTTTGTGCTTCAATAGACAACCTAAAGAAAGTGAAAAGACAACTCACAGAATGGGAGCCAACTGCTGCAAATCATAAAACTGAAAAGGCTGCAAATCATAAATCTGATATATTCTATATCCAGAATATATAAAGAACTGCTAAAATTCAATGATAAAAAGACAAAGGACCAAATCTTAAAATGAACAAAGTACATGAATAGATATTTCTCCAAAGAAAGTATACAAATAGCTCATAACCACATGAAAAGATGCTCAACATCATTAGCTATTAGGGAAATGCAAATCAAAACCACAGTGAGATACCACTTCACACCCACTAGGATGGCTACCAAAAAGATAGATAATAACAAGAAGTGGCAAGAAATTGGAACCTTCATACATTGTTGGTGGGAATGTAAAATAGTACAGCCACTTCGGAAAACAGTTTGGCAGTTCCTTGAAATGTTAACAACAGAGTCACCATATGACCCAGCAATTCCATAACTAGGTATATGGCCAAGAGAAATGAAAACATATAGCCACACAAAAACTGGTACATGAATACTCACAGTAGCATTATTCATAATAGCCCAAAAGTGGAAAGAACCCAAATGTCCGTCAACCATATCTCAGCTGGTAGGAGAATGAGAAAGAGGGAGGAAAAAAATGCTTAATATATAAAATACCTATCAAAGCAATAAGGGAAAATACATACGGCTATTATAAACTTCATTCATGTGACTTGGTCACATAGGTGCACTTGGGATTTATCATTTTCTTATCCCACTATCCATTCCACGTTTCTTTCGTCCTCAGCTAGCATCTCCATTGATTATGGTTCTTTACTTGTGCTTTCAAGGGTCTGCACTATTAGTGATACTGATGGTAGATTAC